CGTTACCTAAAAAGCAAAGCAATGTATGTTCTAGCATACCACCATTCTGTACTTTTCATTTATCATTAGATCAGCCACGTCGGATTTGATCGATAATGTCAAGTTTCCCGACATCCTTCTGTAAAGCTCAGAATTCGGTTTGAACTAGCGGCTCCCGCGGGAAAAATCTCACTGGACTCCTTGCTCGCCACTATGACGGCAGCCGTACAGTTCATTTGTCTTGGTTCTCCCCAACGTGTGCGATCTGTGATGTTTGCAAGAGCCTAATATGTCAGATCGCTTGCGTACTAAATGCTGAAAAAGCTTCAAACGCTGTGTGGAGAAAAGTGCACACATGAGACTGCTATCCCCCGATTTCAACGAAATGTTACACCATGGCTTTGCTTTCTCCCCCATGGCGTTTAACTACAGTGGTTGTTTTCGAAGCGCGCTTTGGCTTTAGCAAATGGAATATCACATGGCCTACAGTGACGCACTCGTCCAAACTGCAACCAATGTGCTTCTTGGCAACTGACCCTTGCCGCCCGCTGTGCCAATCACAAACGTCCATTTGTACTGACGTCATTCGTACCAATAGAGGCGGCACTGTTTTTCCCGCAGGCCCGGAACGCGTGGACTAAAACCGCTCAAAAGTGGTGCCTCTAAGCCGTAACACATGACAGCGGCCCTCAGCAGGTTCTGCCGTCGTCATAACGACGCTCTGTCGTATTGCAAGTTAAAACCAAATTTCTGCAAATAGGATCCCCAATTTCTTTCGTCATCTGGCCTTACGCACTCAAGCCCCCCACCTGCGCCTCGTGCTCGAACTTGGGCCATATTGCAGCTTTACAGGGGGAGGCTTTGAAATGCTTGGAACGTTGGCTACAGCTCCTCGCAACATATGCAACATGAATGTTCGACCGCCATGGGAAGAAGTCTGTCCTTATTTCCAACAAGCGTGGCGCTGAAACGATATTGTGCAGCTCCGTCAAGTTCTGACTAGCCTTACAGTTATCTCTTTGACCTCTTGCGTGAACTAAAAAAAGAAGAAAATTTTAACCACCGTAAGTCGGTTCACCAACCCAGACGGGGCAATGCAGGCTATCCACTAAAATGTTGACCTCATGTCGCGTTTAGGGTAGAACGTTAGTCGTTTTTCGTTATTCGGCCAGCATGATTCTGACCGAATTGTATGGTCAATTGACGGTAGAAATCGTGCTATAAGCGATTGAACGAAATAAAAAGTCGGCTCTCGCCACTTCTCAAGAGTCCAGTGGACTCTCCATAAAGCGACAAAACTCAGAATCTCCGCCATAATTTTACTTAGGTTCTGCACAGATCCTGGGGACCACGCGGATGTAGATTGCAGATCAAAGTGGGTCAACAATTTGTTGTTTTAGCTCGGCCCAGCCATGTTTGCCTGGGCATGTTAAACATTCAGTCAAAATCGATTAGTGACACAATTTAGGTGCGTTGTTTTGAACATGCGCGCTCGCAAATCTTAGTAACAAAAACCTCAGCCTTGAGTGTCTCCTTAGCCCGGGCAGCGTCGCCCCGCGGCTGACACTGAGCCGTGGCCAACCGGTAGACGAAAATGATGATGCGTCTGAAAGAAGTGCGGTAGAGCGCTTTAGGATATGAAACCGTACATTTAGAAGGCAGTCCTGGCGTCCATTTCAGCGGTGCAATTTGCAGATCGACGTTAAAGCAGATTGGCATTTTCAGCAACGCGAAGTGGTACTGGCTGGATCTGGTGGTGAAACTGAAATGGAAAGCAAGAGTGTCTAATGTGCTGTTATATATGCTGCTGTAACTGTTTATCTGTCCAGAGGACAACCTTAAAGTTGCGACAAAGATACGCACAGTCTTATCTTTGAACGGTGTGAATTAATTTTGAAACATTCGGCATCATTATTTCACGACGGTTGTTCTCGCGCTTGGCGCGTGCTGCTGCTTGCAGCGGCCACCGAGCAGCCCCGTCGTTCGGTTTTCCGGAAACTGAAACCCAAACCATTGCTGCCTTGCTCCCGAGATTTCGGGTGCACAGGCTCAAACGTTTTGACGTAATTTGTTTCACTGATCGGTGCTGCAAAAGAACGAACGTTCTCAGGCAAACACGGATGGCCTTGTCCGTTTTTACTCATTTCGACCCACTTTTTCAACACTGAAACCCCTTATTTCCGGGCAAGGGGGTCTCTTGAGCAGAACACTAGGATGCACATTATCGTTCCCGGTCAGGGGCTGAACGGCTATTCCGGTCCACCGCGGGATGTCTTTCGGCTGTCATTCTAGAGACACGGGATAGGATCTTCTGGGCGATCCGGATGCCCTTCGGGGGTTACGTCATATCACATTGGTCCCTTCCTCACACGGAAGGTCTTCTGGCCCGCGCAATTGGCCCCGGATCGACAGAGAAACCCGCAGTGACGCGGCAACATCCCTGATCGCCGCAGACGGTCCATTAATTGGCGCATAGACTCCAGTTTAGCCTAGCGGCACATGCCGGAATTGGACCGAAGGGACCGCCGTTCGGTACTGGGGGCCCTGGATGGCACAGGAACCTCCCACTGTCCCAGTGTGACCACTCATCATAATTGTAATGTTTCCTTTGTGGTCAAAGGAACCCAACCAACGCAAGAGGTCCTCTGTCATTCCGGGTCCCGTCCCCGTCCCCATTGAGCACATGACCCCCTGACTGCCTCAAGGCCCCATGTTGATACAGAACACCCTGTTAGGCACTGGTCCCTGGCCGATACAAAAGCCTCGCGTTGTTGCAGGGGCCCCGGCTAATGCAACGCGCGGGGCCGGCCTTGTCCCTGCTTGGGAAATGGGCCCCAATATATCAGACCGACACGGAGCCGACTGTTCAGTGTTCGTGATCTCTGGCCGAAAAAGAGGAACAGGCTGCCTCGGGGGTCCCCAATCGGGACAAGAGACCCTCTTACAGACATCTGAGATCACGGCCCTACGGGCGGGGTACTAAATGTGGCTTACAGCCAGCCCCTCGGGCCCTTCAGCCTTCTAATCGAATCCTTGGCCTTTGGTCCCGGGGGGAGCTTTGTCCCGTTTCGAACTTCCTCAAACAAAGCCTGCGACCGACAAGGAGCCGCTAGCTGACACATGACCCCCTGTTTGGTACTGTGGGCCCCTGATCGACGCAAGGACCCCGACCACTGTTTCAGGGGCCCAAACCGATGCAAGTCGTGGCCCTCGAGCTCGCTCCTGCTTGAGAAATGGGCACCAGGGTTCAGAGTTCAGACTGACAGGGATTCAACTGTTAGGTGTTCGTGGTCTCTCGCCAGCCGAGACACTCGCATTGTCTTAGGGGTCTTCAAACGGTGCGAGAGAGCTGATGTTTTAAGTCACGACCATACGGGCCGCAATTCTGTATGTGACCTACAGTCAGTCCTTCGGGCCCTTAAGCCCTCCAAGCGGGCTCTTAGTTATCGGTTCGGTTCGGGGCCCCTTGCGAACAAAGGACCTCTGTTAGACACTGGGGAGCCTGACAGGCAAAGGGGCCCGACCAGTGTAAATTGCAGTCCTCGGCTTTGTAACTGATTGGGAAGAAGGCTCACGAGCTCAGATCGACACGTAGCTGACTGTGCGGTACTCGTGGTACCTGACCGGCATGTAGGCCCATATTGAATCAGGGGGTCCCCGATCAGCGCAAAGGGCTCTCTAACTGTCATATGAGGGTCCAGCACTGCAGACCCTGAATAAGACCCGAGCAGCACTTCATACCCTTAAGCCTTCCAATAGTGCCCTTGATTGTCAGTCCCGGTGGGCCCTCCAGGCTCTTCGGGCCTCTTCGAAAACTGCCTCTGGACGACTTGGGCCCCTTGCCAACACAGGGACCCCTGTTCGACGCTGCGGGGACCCTGGCAGACGCTGGGGCCCCGAACAATGTAAATCGCTGGTTCCTGCTTGGGGAATGGGCGCTCGGACCCATGCCGCCACGGAACTGACTGCGTAAATGATGGTGTCTGACCAACATATACGCCCGTATCGATTCAAGGGGCGCTTGATCGGCGCGCAAGGCCCTCTGGATGACATTGAAGTGCCCCGCCCTGCGGGCCGGACCCCCGAATGCAGCCTCCGGTCGGCCTATCGGGTCCTTCGGGCCCTTAAATCGGACTCTAAATCGTAGGCCCCTTCGGAACCTAAGGAGAGGAGGGGGGGGGGGGGGAGACACATACCCCCTGTGCCCCCTGCCAGCGCTACTGATTTGCTGTGCAATAGCTTCTTCAATTTTCCCTTGCTTGCGAGCGCACTTCCTCTTATGTGGCTCAATGAGATGCATTTAATCTTGAAATGTTCGCAACGTTTCGTCCGACATAAGACATCATCATGCAGCTAAAAGTAAGGGTGACATTCGCAATCCTAGGGAAAATTCGCAATGCACTGATCGCGGTGGTTCGAACAAAACTATGGGTAACTGGAATAACCTTCTTGCGCTTTGTGTAGACTGTTGTAATGTGGTTCTCACATAAAAGGGAGGGTGTTGACCCCGGTGAAGCCTTGTTTATATATATATATATATATATATATATATATATATATATATATATATATAACGAATATGTTAACATAAAACCTATGCATGCATCTCTCCGTATTGTTATACACAGCTGTTCCCACGATCTGTGTTGAATGCCCGAAATGGGTCCTGCAAAGTTGTACGAAATGAGAGAAAAAAATTCAAACGGCATCAGAAATTCGTAATGACGACTTGTCTAGTTAGGAAGTGAGCTGCGTACTTCCCAAAACCATTTGGTGAGATCACGTGATTTGGTCACTTCAAATGACGAAGCAGGAAAAATACAGCCGTGGATGCACCAAGGCGAAGGAAAATATCATCCTAAGTGTTGGGTAAAAATTATTTTCGTAAAGCGTATTGCGATTAAGCCTCCAGCTTTCTTGAAACCAGAGTGCTATGAAATCACACGACGATAAAAGCAATTTTTAAATCGTGCTTGAGCTGCTGGAATTCTCCTCATACATGATCAGAAAATGCTAGGAAGTTCCGTACACTCCGGCTTTTTCAGCGAAGGTTACACAGAAAACACCATATCCCACAGCGCTCATTATTTAAAGGAGGCAAATACTGACCACCTTGCACAGAAACGTCATCAAAGGCATACAATCGCCAGAAATGTCGTCAAAAATACCCACTCCACAGAAAACATGCAGTTAATCATGCACACGGTGGCCTGTTTCAGCTGGTCCCACGCAAGTCACTTCGCCCGTCTCCGTTCCCGTGCACCGTCGGCGGCTGTAGCGGTCCGACGGCGCCGGCGCTCGGGGGCCGCGTCGCGAGCTGAGCGCAGCCGCGCGAGCCGGCCACCGCAGCCGCTCACAGCAGGTTCAGGACAGCGTGGCGCGTCTTCTGGGGACAGACAGCTTGTGGTCACCGTGAGCAGCCCCCCCCCCCCCCCCCGGCGCCGCCACCCGCCGGAGTCCTGAAGTTTGCGTGGGCGCGTGCGGCGCTACGGGAACGGGCAGCACCACTTCCGACCGCAGATCTGTCATCACAACAGCCTATTCCCGTTGGAATAAACAGGATTTGGGATGGCCGCAGGTATGATATGTAGAGGATCACACTGGATGCACTTATCAGTTGCGTTTTAAAGGGAATGTTTCACATTTGCATTGAGTTTTGGACTGAAGCAGCCATCCCGAACAACATTCGGTGCAGTTCACAACCCTGTCCTTCTTAAGACGTAAAACCTAGTTTTTGAGTTACACGTACGCAAGGATATGCAGACTATTTGCTGTAAAATATTTCGGTCATTCATGCGTGCATGATGTCACAGCCACTGAAATAGTGCTACATCATTAGTCACGAGGCGTTCAAGACCAGGAACATAATCGCCGAGTCGCTCATGCCTGGTGCCGGTGAGCGCGGTTTCCAGATATCACGAACTTCCATTGGCTCTCAACCAATGCTGCACAGGCAGTGTAAGATTCGAAAACGAATTGCGTTTTTTGTGCTGACAATATAAGTTGGACATGGGTACTAGATGTTACGGAAATCAGGTTTGTAATCCAACAGCTTGAGAATGGTGTCATAACCAAGTATGTGAATGCGAGTAAACACCTTAAACTCACGGCGACTCACAATATACAAGAACGCCACGATAGAGGGGCACACCAGGAGCCTAAAACGATATTTGCTTCAGCAGACACGTCTAGCACCGCCGCCGCCATTTCTCAGCGAGTTGAAGTGCTACAAGTGAAGTGCTAGTCAGGTGTTAAATGCATTTACGAAGAACATTTATCACATAGATAAGACAATAGTAACAGCTTTATTCCTCGGAGAAAACCAGGAGAGTGTCGAAATAGACGAGTTCATATTTTGGCAACATGCCTTTATCGAAACAGCAGCAGAAGAATGTCAGGTAAAAGCTAGCAGAATGCTAATGAAGAATACTAACAGAACGCTAGGGTGAAAATTTTGCACGGCGAGTATAGCAACACCTCTTAACGCCATACAAACGTTCCATGACGCAATCAATGACATATTGAGGAGCTTATTTGCTGAAATAAAATTTTTTGTCAAGAGCAGTCTTTTCCACTTAAAGGGAGTGCTCCACAATTGAAGATATTAAAGCAAGCATCAGATGTGATGAAATTAGCTCACTTATAACTAATAGTACACTTTCAAGTGAAAACGCTTGCTCTGGACAACAAGATTTCTCAAGACTTCTCTCTCCATATAGAAATCGCATTTCCTTATTTAGTAAATACGATCCTCAATACGGCTTGTCCGACTGCCTCACGGAACGTTTGCATGACAACACTCACATGTAGTCCTTCGATCTTCCGAGCAGTGGCGCGCGGTGGTGCTAGTGTGCTGAACCAAATATCGTTGGGTACTCGTGTTTTGGCCCTCTCTCGTGGAGTTCTCGCATATTTATTTGTGAATTTAAGATGCGTACTTATATTCACATGCTCGATTACTGCGCTGTTCTCATGTTATTTGATTGCAAGTCATTCACCCTCATCTCATAGCCCTGTAATGATCGCCCTCATCTTATAGCCGTGAAATGATCGACCTCATCTCATAGCAATGAAATAATCTACCTCATCTCATCCCTCTGAAAATATCATTTCTGACCGAAAGCGCTCTAATCCAAACAACCTAACGTGTTAGAATCTTGCACAGTTTGCACAACATAGGTTGAGTTGAGAGCCAATTGACGGCCGATATATGTGGAAATTATGCTCACGAACGCCAGATATGAGGGACTGAACAATTATATTTCTTGACCTTAAACGCCGTATGGCTAGTGGAATGGCAGAATGAAATGACGTTGTTATGACTTCATGAATGCCTGGGTAATCTTGAAGTAGTCTGCACAAAAAACTACGCACATCTTCACGGGTGTATACTTCAGTAATTATAAAGTTTTACATCTTAAGAAGGGCAGGGCTGTGAACTGAATCGAATGATCTTCAAGTTGCCTAGTTCAGTTCAAAATTCCATACAAATGTGAAAACTCCCTTTAAAGGGATACCAATAATTATGAGGAACCTTACTTCATCACATCTGATGCTTGCCGCAACATCCTCAAATGTGGAACATGCCACTAAAGCAACAGAAAACGACGAAACGTGCGTTGCGTACAGGATAATGACGATGCATCGATAAATGAACATGCAGACTTCACTACAACAGCCAGGCATTGCAATGCAATGTACTATTGCAATGGAAAAATTTGATGCAATAACGCAGCAAGATTATTGCGTCTTAGTAATTGATTCAGAACTGTGTTCCACGCCTGGTGCTCATCAGTCTCTTGTTTACTTTGTATCCTTTCCAGCAAGCAATGCCTGGCTTCATCCAAAGAAAAAGTTCCGTCTGCCTCCGCCATACTGGCAAAGGGACGGTCTGAAGTTAATACGCCGACAATCATGAGGACCGTCGGAGAGGTACGAAGGCTGACCTTTCCTCGAATCGCTAACCTTGTCTTTGCAGGTGCGCGCAGCAACGTCGCAGACAGAGCCCTCCGGACAGCAGTGGATGTGGTCCTCGCAACAGACGGCGTTCTTCTCGGGACAGCACGCGTAGCTGCCGTTAGGAATCTGACAGCAGGTGGCCGTGTCGGCGCACGAGCTGCCGTCCTGGCACTTGTGTTGGAGCATGGCTCCTGCGCCGACCGTCGGCCCGGTCTGCCCGCCGTCGCCGCCGCCGCCGCCCAGACGGACCACGGGCTGGCCAAACGGTCCGGCCGAGGTGCTTTGCACGCACATGCCGCGCGCCAGGTCACACTGGTAGCCTGCCGGGCCAGGTGCGCACGGCGGCGTCAGATCGCGCGCTGTCGCGACCTGCACGGACGCGCCGCGCGCAACGGCAGGTGCTTTGAGCAGCTGGCAGGATTTTGCACGGCGCCGTGCCCAGCGGCGAAACAGGACGGCGACCGCCCGGGGAGCGCCCGCGCAAGCTCGCACACAGCGTCAACACACCGCGGCTACTGCAGTCTAACGGCCACCAGCATCCGCGGACAGCAATCCATGACCGTCTGTGCCACACGAGCTTACTGGCTACTGCTGTCGCGCAGGGTGCAGCCGGCAATCGGCCAGTGATTGCGCACAACTGGCACCAACCGACGGCCCCCGCTTCCTCGCTACCATACCATGGCACCGCCCACCCACCTGTCGGGCAGCAGTGCATCCTGTCGGCGCAGCAGACGGCGTTCAGGAACGGACAGCAGCCGTACGGCTGGTCGTTGTTGTTGGAGGGACAGCAGGAGCCGTCGCTGCACCGGCGGCCGTTGGGACAGACCTGGCCCTGGCCGGCTACAAGCCCCACCGCCAACATGACCAGCAATCCGCACAGCTGCATGTTCACTCCTGGTGGACACAACCAAGGCCGATTGGTTACTCCTGACGAACGTGGACAATACTTACTGACCGTTCCCGACGGACACACACTGCTGTATGGCGACTTCTGCCGGCCAAAAAACACGGCTCCATTGGGGCTATGCTGGACACAAACAAGCCGCTACATGGAGACTTCTGGTGGACACGGACACAGATACCCTCACCGCTGTTATCTCAGGAAAAATAGATATCAAGCGACAACTTAAGGATTTTCCGACTGGTTTATGCACTGCTTAACAACTTTTACCAGTTCACACCTTGATTTCAGACCAGCCCAAGACCTTATTAGACGGTTTTGTATTTCCTTTTAGTCGGCCCACAACCAAGAATCGTCGGCCTTTATAATCTACCTTATTCCGAACGATCTGGTAATCCACGATACTGGTGAGACTGGATGTCTACTAACAGATCGAATGCTCAAAAATGAGTGAAGTATTAAAACAAGACTTGCAAGCAGTTTTGAAGAACAGGTGGTCAAAACGGCTTTGATGTTCGGTGCTGTCACGTGCCTTTCAATTCGTTTTGATCGCTGATGATTCATCTTCTTGTCAGGTTACCTTCTGTTTGCTCTACGATATTTCCTATCTGGCAGGATGTATGAAGACGATGTTTTACACATTTAAACTTAAAAACTGTCCCTGTGACATTTTCTCAACAACAAATCCCTAAGGCTGGAAGGAGTGACGGCAGGACCGGATGTAGTTCCAACAAAAACTTAAGCAAATGCCTGCACAACATGACTCCCAATATGGCGGTATGGACAGTAAGGACAGTATGGTCAAGCCCGTACCGCACGCATGTTTACAATAAAAAGTAACTCGGCTAAAGACAGCGACATCTTTTGCTATGGGAAGCTGAGAGCTAATCGAAACAAGATCAGAGGTACTGCGACAACATCCGCGACATATTCGACCACTTAAGGCTTCTATGCATAGCAATATAAAAGTTTCCGAGGCCCTGTTCCGTAAACTCTGTGTTTTACAGATGTTTTGAGAGATTCGGCTGCCTTGATGTTTGCTTCATCGATTGCTGCATATCGGCATCAAATTACAGCTCACTCATCAAATTTTAATTACAAATTCAGTCGTTTCCACATGGTACGACTTCAAGCGCCACTGATTTTCAGGCACTTGTTCTTATCAGCTTCAAATTTTTTTCTCATGCTATCTTTCACGTTCCGTTTTTTAAGACATTGTTGCAATCACGTACTACAGTTGAACGCGAAACGCTTTTACAGGCTTGCATTTTGACATTTCCAAAGTACAAGACTGCTGCTCCTCGTCCAGTAATTCGAAAAATAAGTGTTCGGACACAAATCTATAAGTACAATGAAACTTAAATTAACCAGTTCTTCGACGTTCACGTGAAAGCTAACATCGCATAATCATGAGAAAAAGCTCGTACTGTCAGCCACTATACGCGTTGTCCCACTTCCCACAAGTGTGCGGTCTTAGATTTGCTGGCAAAGGGTTACCAGTATAGGATATTACGAACTCGCATGGAACAAGTGCGGAGCGTGGGTTGGAAGCCAGCGGATTCCACATGCTACTTGTTAGTCTATGACATAGCTAGGCCGTACTGTTTTGAGCAGGCAGTTACAGCAGATCACGGGCGTGCGTCGCCATTTTGGTGCCCAACCGGATAGTGCATTCACACTGATTTTCCCTAGCTCTATGTCTTGCGACCCAACATTGCACATCTTGTCAGTCTGCAGCATGTTAGCGTTAGCGCCGATTCGTTTGCAGGACAGCCTGCCGTAAAGTCTTAGCGCGATCTGGGCCGGTGATAGCTTGTCCACCAGTGCGATTGCTCGCCTCGCACAACTCGTGCGGGTGGCCGGCTGGCTACGATTTACGCCGCCTTCGATAGTTGCGAGGCAGCTCGGGGATCCGGCGGCATATGTATATCCCTGCATATCCCTGCGATTGGCTGTTTCAAGACACCGTCCAAAAGGTGGCAGGCGTTGCAGCAATGCATGGATACACGTCACGGACTTGCAGACTTTCTGATTTTAAGAGCGCGAGCCGTCATCGTAATCATGGCGCTCACAATCACGGTTGTGAAGGGGCTATTCCCTCTTCGCAGAACGCCATTGCTGCAGCCGACTTAAAGTGCATTCTTTGTTATTCTAAAGTTGCCTCACCCAGCCTGAGTGGGTGTTCAATCTTCGGCGGCTCTCAGTTGGTTATGGAGCCGTGGGAACTGGATGATATCTGGCTTTTAGTTATTTACGGGTCACAGCCCGAATCCTCTCCTTGGGATTGCTGGGGTTCGAACCAGGATACACTTATTCAGAATCTAGTGCTCTACCAATGGGGCTGACCGGGAAGAACCGATCGCTGGCCGATCGGCACGGATGGGAAACGAAATGACACCCAACTGGTCTGTGTTTCTCGCGTTTAACTGGCCAAGACGATGTTTGAATAGCAATACACCAGACGAGAACGATAATCCGAAACATGATTGTTTCCGTGGCAATAATGCCTCGTTTTAACGCCCTCCTTACACAATGTTTCTGTCGGAATTTTTAAAAAATAGGACATGTCTATAAGTGGGATCACTTTAAGAACGTCACGGTAAGACAAATCACTTTAAGATTTGTTCCATGTCATGCGCTCACGCAAAAACCTATGAATCGTAGAAAATGTGCCTTCCGAGGATTTTTGGGCTTTATTAGGGAGGGGCTTGGGCTAGCACAGTCTGTGAGTCGTTTGGAAACTTGCGTGCGAAGGAACTGAGGCACCCACAACATATCGTCGACAAATGATTTTTCTAGACCTATAGAAGTAACGCAAGTCAGAGCAGTCATGAATTTGGACGAGAGGTCGCAGATATGCCAAAAATTTACACGTGAAAAAAGGACTGGTTCAAACCTATAGTGTTCAGTGTTCGGGAACAGCTAACAGAGTTCAGCGTTCGGGAAATTTAGGCGCAAGCCAATATCTTCAGAAACCGACCAATTCGAGCAGTGCGCTAAATCGCGAGTCATGCATATACCGCTCTTGCCACAATGTTAAAATTCAAACCAGAAGTGCGATAAACTGCGAAATAGACGTTTTCTAGACTTGTTGACTTCGTGATTTATCATAGACAACTCACCTCGAAAACGCGGCTACTTCTTTTTTTTAGGCGACCTCAAAACTGGAACATTCTCTTATACCACACCGCTGTCGGTGTAACTGCCGACCATCAAGAACAGCTTCAGGCACGAAGCATGCGGGCACTCATTAGCTTCAAACAAAAACTCAGTTTTAAAGACGACTGTCCTCCCGACTGGGGACCGTTCGCGTGAGATTTAGGATGTCTCCTTCGCTGGGTGGTGAGATCCCTGCTTCCCCGGATCTGACCCGTTGTCCAACGCGTCTGCGGTGCCGGGAGCACTGCGCAGCAGCCATCCCACAAAGTTCAGAGGACATTTCCAAGGCGCAACAAGGCGTAACTCCCGCATCATTGGCGCCATTCCAGCCGACGTCAACGGCGCAGCCCTGGGAGGACCGCGTCGGGCCCCAAACGCTAATGGAATAATGACCGTGCGCTCCAGGAGCGGGAGGCGGTACACAAAACGGCCTCGCGCGGCTTACCACACCATAATGCTACAGCCAGAGGTTGGCTTAAGATGAAACCTGGGGTGGAAATCATAGGCACTAGAGCACATTGCAATCTGATTTGAGCATAAAATGATGTAGTCTATCGGCTTCGGCCATTCCGGTACCTCTAAACAAGCGACTTTTTATTGACCCATTGTCTCCGGTTCATCGCGACTAAGGCCAGGTAGGCCTCCGTTGACCGACTGGAGACAATCCTTGGAATCTCACATACAGTGCGCTATCAAGTCATGTATCACATCTACATAAAGCCAGCTTAACAAAACTCCCCGATGCAAAGGACCTAACTGAGCAGCAGAGTCGTCAGCGGCCGACCAAAACTGAGCAGCAGAGTCGTCAGCGGCCGACCAAAACTGAGCAGCAGAGTCGTCAGCGGCCGACCAAAACTGAGCAGCAGAGTCGTCAGCGGCCGACCAAAACTGAGCAGCAGAGTCGTCAGCGGCCGACCAAAACTGAGCAGCAGAGTCGTCAGCGGCCGACCAAAACTGCCTCTGGCTTTGAAACTGGGCTTCACCTGCCAAATCTGGCTGACAGAAACAGCTGGGACAGAAGCTGTCAGAAACTGCCGAAGACAGTGGTAAAATGCTGCTTTTTCGTTAAAAACGTTGGTACCGATCATTCGCGCGTCATATAAGGCAGTTATTTTTTCTAATCTTGGAGCAACGTCACACTCATTACAACCAGTAATCCGATCATTATGCTGCGCTACCAGAGTATTGTTGAGGCTTGACTTAACGGAAATGGGTTTCTTTAACTTAATCATGGCCTGCTAAAAACGTAAATTCGTTTGTCCTCCCCAGTTTCCTCCAGGTCATGCCAGTGCCCATCGGTTGCAACCAATAAGACAACACAGTGGCAGAAACTAGCTTAAGCCAGCTAACCTTCCATACAGGCTGAACACATCACGACAATAGAAAGACCAACAGCTGAACCCGACGACTGACAGCGCATGCCTGCGACACGGCATGAGCATGTGGCTGAGGCAATCACATTGGAGCACACCACAACACCAGACATAACAGGAAACCACACCTCGTGGCACATAATCGCGCGTCCCTAACAATCAGAGCGAGACCCGGTGATGACGCAACACTATCATCTGAAGTCACCTCTCCTGCTGGTGGTTGTGAGAGCGCGCAGTCCTTGTCCCCCTGTCGGCACAGCGCTCGGTAGACTACTTGTAAACAAAGGGTGCGGTTGCTGCCCGGCCGGACATGAGTCAGCGGCCCGGCGATACCAGCCAGAGCAGTCAGCAAAAACGCCACGGTGTGCCCAGTCCACTCCCGCCCCGGCGCCGGAATAACGCTAACAGCTTGCCAGGAGGGCATTTTCTGGGCAGTGCTCATGAAGTGAAATTCTACCAGTTCGCCGGTGTTTGAACCAAAGCAATGGACGCAATGTGCAAGTTGTGAAAACCCAGTTTTTCTGGTGCCGCCAGTGCACCTCCACAGCACGCACTGCCCGGGGTGGGACGCGTTAAGCCTTACCCCCCATAACTGTGGAGGCAACCCATCATAGCCAAAAGCAACAAATGATAACCGTGTAAGCCTTGCTTTTTCCCGTCCATGAACATTTTCTTTAAGCTCAGTTCTGTGATTCCGCACGTCACGGGGCGAGTCCGATTGTACTGTAGCTAGAGCACGCTCTTTTCTGGTAGAAATGCGACGGGCACCAACGGCAAGGTTTGGTTTTTCTGCATCCCAGAAGCATTATGAAGGACTGGTGACGGGCACTGATCAAAAGCATTGGCTTTTCTGCATCCCAGAAGCCTTCTGAAAGATTTGCGACGGGCACCAATCGAAAGCGTTGGCTTTTCCATATCTCACAACCAATCAAAATGTATCCAAAGTTAAAAGTCAAGCCAAGGTCAGGTAACGCCTGGCAGCGTTAGCCTCAAATAAGCGAGCGGTCTCTTACCTTAGGACTCATTACGATAGTCAGATCGCCAGGTTGTACAATATAATTGAATTACAAGCGCACACATAAGCACGGACACACGCAAACAGTAAAAATAATGTCACCCGATCTAACCATTTTCGACGACCTTATTAACTATCTTTGAACTTGGCAATCATTCCGGTTACAAATACTGTTTACAATAACGCAAGCATACATGTCCCGTTAACGGATGTACTAATTGTTCGGACCACAATGCTCGTCTGGTGTCTTAGCCATTAGGACGTAACCATTTCGGCCAATCAATCATCAAGCCGTCGTCAGGTGTCCGCTGAGTCCTGAGAGGGACTGGATGCTATCCAGCTTTCCGTGATGTACGCGTCGCATGAAGTGCTTCACTGGCATGGCCCGGATTCGAGCCGAGGGCTTGTGATTACGGAGTCTGGTGATTTAGAGTCCAGCAGTATTGCACTACTCAGGGGAAAAACAGGGAAGAACGTGGGGAAATGCAGGCAGTTACTGGGACGAGCAGTGCAGCTATCAAAAATGGGGACACAGCGCGAGTCAAACATCACAATTTCATGGCATCTTTTGCTGTCACGTCCCACCGACGTGCTCTTTATGTGGTGCATGCCAGTGGAATGTGGCGTTAACTTCCACTAAGAGTGGAACATTTTCGACAGGGCAGCGGCTGAGGCTGGCTACACAAGACTACAAGAAACTGTACTGAGGTTGCCACTGAAGTCTCCACTGTTCTATGGTGGGACATACCAGTATTAGTGCTTTCCATCCACAATGATCAAAATTTGTCAAATGATTGCATCCTTTGCTAACAACCCACAGTTACGCTGTCATGTAAAGGACACCTCGGGGCCGATCCAAAAACCAGGAAAACTTTGATTTCCTGGCAGCGACTGTAAGAAAGGGCTGTTTCTGTTTCGGGGGTGAGTGATGCGAAACCAATGGAAGCTATACAAAGTTAAGTAAGCCCAGACACATCCATCGAATCTCGACCAAATCTGAGCGGGCATAGAGGTGACTGCACCCTTGTCACCACAGCAGTGCGTCAATATCTGGTCACTTGGGTGGCAGGGATGTCAATATTCTTGTCATGCTATTTCATCCGGGGTTGGGGTTTACTGCCTGTTGCCCCTCGCCTTACTAAAAATCGGCAAATCAGCACCGAAATGGGCGTCAGTCGACCAGCACCCAAGAGCCTCAGGCTTAGCAAATGGATTGGGAAGGTCAGATGTTTGGGTTCAGGGATCAAAGGGCGACGGATTAGCGACAACGAATTGCGTGTGGGGGCCGCTGGAGAACCGGATTTACTGGCCCCACTGATTCATATTTACTTCCTGGACATTATAGTGGATAACATTAAAAAAGGCTGAGATTGAACATAATTTCATTTCATTATTTGTTGCATATTGCTAGATATGGCAAAATCACCACTAGAAAAGTGACCAAAAAAGCTCAGAACATTGCATGCACTGTTTATCTTGCTAATTCACGACTTGCAAATTTTAGCTTGGCATGAATACATTTGTTGGCTCCAAATTTCTCTTACAGTCTCTATGATGTTGTGATTGCAGCATCCTTTTACCTTATCACGTGATAAGCTGAACATCAAACTAAAAAAAAGGGAGCCAATAGACCCACTTAGAAATTGTTTTTAATGTGATGCCTGCCCAGCGAGAGCAGGCAATAAAACTAGGTGATTACCATTTCGGTCTTTGCGAAACCATTTGTGTAGTTCACAAAACATCCAAAAGATGTCAGCAGCATCTGCACAGACAGGGATGATCCCCTTAGAAATGCCACTGGGCAGGTAACTGAGTATCCCTTCACAGGGTAGCTCAGTAATAACACACCTGGGCAAGCTGCCCTTCAGCGGCCACATCTCCTGACTAATGGTCAATTCAGACAATTAGTTTCAAGACTGGTGCTAGCAGCAGAAGCCACACAACACTTAAGGGAGTGTCCTCCCTTCAGGGCATTTTTCAGAACCATGCCATGGTGAAATCTTAAGACTATTTAGGTCTATGAACAGCACTCAGCAGTGTTACTGCAGCACTATCAAAAATACTATGGGCATGAATTTTGATCATCACAAGACACAAAAATATTCAAGGAAAGAACTGAAGCTTCATGACTAGATGGGGACATAGGTGGTGGAACCATTCTGGATGCTGGTAGGAGTTCATTGTTAGCATGCCAACATCAGCATCTTTTCTAATATTAGCTACATAAGACCTTTGTGCCTACAATAAGGGGTCTAATCTGAGTAACAATAAAGGGTCTTAACTGGGGCCTGTTTACCAGGGTGATTCAGAAATGGCTGGAAGGAGTCCACAGGCATAAATCAGGATGTTAACATATTTGCAGGTCTAAGATGTGAATGACACTGGCAGATTCTCCATTGGCATATACACAGATGGCTGTGGACCTGAGACAGGTATGACACACAAAAGTTGCACCAAATGCTAATATTATCTCTACAACAAACTTTGCTGGTACATGTGATGCCTGCCACCAAATTTCTGCAGTGGCATCATCTCTCCCTTAAAGGTCTTCTCAAACTTGTATTGAAACCTGAATACCTTCATGACATGATGAGAAGTCACAAGTGAGTCACCATCATATGATACACAGGTAAGATGAAAAAACTTCTATCATAAGGTACAAAGTCAGAATAATATACAACCTGAGCTCCCTCCAAATTGATTTGTCAGCAGCAGAAAGAATTGTGGGTACACCATGAAAAAATGGCATTCACCCAGTAGCTTAATTGTTTAGATCACCTGCCTCCCAAACTCCTGGTGGTGGGGTGCAGGGCTCATGCAACAAGGTCTGCTTCATGTGGTTTCTGATCTTTGACAGTTGCTACTAACTTAAGTAATATTTGATGTCTTAAAGAATTATTGCATTGGAAAGGTTATCTGAAACAAAAATACTGAAAACCTCTTTCCATGAAAAACTAACATTCACAACAATTTGGCCTGGCCAAGTTCAGCACATGCATTGCCATGGTCAAGTGTCTCAATGTCACCTTAAGGTCCCACAAGAGGATGATTTTCGCAGACTGAGCAGCTGCCCCACTCCTTCATCCCAGCTTTAACCAACATCAAGTATTACTC